GCAGTAGGAGTCAGTCTCCTGCTCGCAGTCCCTGATGGCACACGGTCTCTGGACTGTGGCCTGGAGCCCCTCCAGCTGGCGCGCCAGAGACCCCAAAAGGGAGCAGTCCCCACAAGGGCAGGTGGCCATGCTCCTGGCTGCCAGAGCCTGAAAAAGTGACAGGCAGCCCCCGCAGCCGAAAGCCAGGGCCTCTGTCCATGTGGAGCCTGGAAGCATGGGTGACGTCTGGGTGGCTGTCTCTGAGGTGCCAGAGTGGGGGCCACAAAGCCCGACGGGACCTGAGGGGTGTGGCGCGTGCCCATCCACGGCATGCTGCTGGTAGGCAGGCTGGGCCTGAGTCTGTCTACCCTAGGGGGCTCGCAGGCAGGGCTTCCTGTGGCTCCCTGCGGGGCTGGGTGAAGTAGGAGCCTGGGCGGGGCAAGACCCGGCCTGGCTCCCACTCAGCTGCCTCCTCCCACTCTCTAGGGGTTAACCCCCTCCTACCATGGGCCCCGCTTGCCTCTGGCTGTGCTGGGGGTTGTGGGGGGGTTCCACAGCTGTTGGGTGGTCTCTGGGGGGCTTCAGGGGAGCGGGGACGCAGCGGGCTTTCACCCACGCATCTCTTGCCACTTCTGGAGCCTAACTGAGGCTTTTTTGCTGTTGGCAGGCCCTTTTAAACTGCACACATGCGCAGTGGGCCCACTGTCAGTGGCAAGCTGCTCTTGGGGGACAGGCAGGGGAGAAGAGGAGGAGGAGTTGCACTTTAGGTAAAATAGCCATGTGATTGCTCAGAGCTCCAGTATGAAGCTGGAGACAGGCCTGTTGAGAGTCTCTGGGTTAGGGTTGGAGTGGAGAGCAACAAACGTGATGTTGTGTTGGGGATCTGCTATAAGCCACCAGACCAGGAGGAAGTGGTGGATGAGGCTTTCTTCAAACAGCTGGTGGAATTTTCCTGATCACAGGCCCTGGTTGTCATGAGGGACCTCAAGCACCCTGAAATCTGCTGGGAGGGCAATATAGCAGCGCACAGGCAATTTAGGAAGTAACTTCCTTACTGAATGGGGGAAGTAACGTTGTGACAGAGGATGCAGAAAAGGCAGAAGAGCTCAATGCCCTTTTTGTCTCAGTCTTCACAGGCAGTCAGCTCCCAGACTACTGTACCAAGCAGCACAGTTTGGGGCGAGGAGGAGGTGGGCAGCCCTCAGTGGTGAAAGAACAGGTTAGGGACTACCTAGAAAAGCTGGACATATACAAGTCCATGGGGCCAGATGGGATGCACCCAAGAGCTGATGTCATTGCAGAGCCATTGGCCCTCATCTTTGAAAACTCATGGTGATCAGGAGAGGTCCCAGGTGTTTGGAAAAGGGCGCACACAGTGCCCATATTTAAGAAATGGAAAATGGAGGATCCAGGGAACTACAGACTGCTCAGCCTCACCTCAGTCCCTGCAAAAATCATGGAGCAGATCCTCAAGGTCTCCCTTTCTAAGCACTTGGAGGAGAAGATGATTAGGAACAGTCAGCATAGATTCACCAAGGGCAAGGCATGCCTGACTGACCTGATTGCCTTCTAGGATGAGATGACTGGCTTTGTGGATGTGGAAAGACAGATGGATGTGGTGTACCTTGATTTTAGCAAGTTTTTGATATGGTATCCCACAACATTCTTGCAGGCAAGCTAAGGAAATATGGGCTGGATGAATGGACTGTAAAGTGGATAGAAAACTGGCTGGAGCATCAGGCTCAGAGAGTAGTAATCAGTGGCTCAGTGTCTAGTTGGAAGCATGTATCAAGTGGAGTGTCCCAGAGGTTGGTCCTGGGGGTGGTTTTGTTCAGTGTCTTCATCAGTGACCTGGAAGATGGCATAGAGTGCACCCTCAGCAAGTTTGCAGATGACAACAAGCTGGGGGGAGTAGTAGATACACTGGAGGGTAGAACTAGGATTCAGAGTGACGTAGACAAATTGGAGGATTGGGCTAGAAGGAATCACATGAGTTTCAACAAGGATAAGTGAAAGTCCTGCCCTTAGGACAGAACAGTCCCATGCACCGGTACAGGCTGGGGGCTGTGGTGGAAGCTCCATTCTTGGAGGTTTTCAAAACCCAGCTAGACAAAGCTTTGGCTGGGCTGATCTAGTTGGGGATGGTCCTGCTTTGAGCTGGGGCTGGACTTGATGACTTCCTGAGGTCCCTGCCAGTCCTAACTTTCTGTGATTCTATAAGAAGGACAAGCTTCCCCATACACTGTCCTGATAATGTGTCTTCACCTGTGAGCTCAAGGGGCAGGTTGGTCATTTAATAGTTGCCTCCGTTCATTCCTTAGCCTTTCTGGTGAGATAGTTCAACAAGGTGAGGGTTGCTGTTGTGTTATGTATACCTGTCCACCCGAAACTGGTTTGACCTCATGAGTTTATCTGAGAAACACAGCTAGGAACTTAGACCTACCCTCCTCAGACTGCCTGGTTTGTCAGTTAGGAAAGGACTGGAGATATTAGTGGCAATCTGGTTGCCTCACATCTTTGCTCCATAATCAAATCTTCCTACTTCTGATGTGACTTCTGAAAAGAAACAACACTAGGTGAAAAGTCATGAGTTGTTTTGTTTCTTGTTCTCAGGACCCAACTCGGGTGGTCAGTCCAGTTATCGACATCATCAACTTAGACACTTTTGCCTATGTGGCAGCCTCATCAGACTTGCGAGGAGGTGAGTGAACACTAGTCACATCCTGATGGGGACTCTGTCCTGTTTTGCTCCAAGTACAATGCACCCACAGAGGAAAAAATCTGACCAAACATGAAGCCAGCATCAAGTCCAAATTCATTGCTCTAAGGGGTATAACAAAGCTGTTCTGCACCAGACATGCTAAAAATGTTCAGTTGGCAGTTTTTAAGGTTAGCTTGGACTTACTTAATGGTACCTAGAGGGAATGGAGTTCATTAGGATAGAGTAACCAGGCAGATGGGAAGCTAACCCCTGGCAGCAATGAAACTCAATGATATACGGTGTAATGATGGCACAGCAAAATGCAGGTGTGATGGTAGCATGGGCAGACATACTGTGCTAGTTTAATTTACCTCGCACTGGTTACAGTAGCAGTAAAGACAGGCTTTAGCACATGCTAGCAACCAGAGGGTCTCTGAAGTATTTGTACACTGGCTGCTGGTAACTGTCAATCCTCCTGGATCATGGTATGCATGAGAGGTAGCCAGACCTTTGATGCATATGCCTGGGCCAGAATTTTTGGGGGAGTAGAGGCTGCCCAGACCTTCCATCATGCAACTGAGACAGAATCCAAAGACCAGATTGAGCCCAGATATTTGGTGCTTCTACGACTGTAATTGTTTAAGTGGCTGGGAATTGAACACAGGTCTCCTGTGTGGTAGATAAGGATTCTACCACTGAACCACAGGGGACTCCACACTGGCTGTTAGTACATACTGAAAGCTGTGCCACTGCATCTTCACTGCTCTTGTTAATCATGTTAGCTAGATTAAGGTAGCACAGGTAGGATAGCACATATGCCCATCCTACCTTCGTTTTGCTGTGTGGATATACCACAAGGGGTTTGAAGTCCCATTCTGAGGCTATGGGTTGCTTGATTCTCTGCAGTGTTACTTCAGATACTCACCAATGCCAAACCAAAATGACATAATGATGGATTAGGTGCTCTGCTAAGTACTAGCTTGTAGCTCTGATGTAATTCATTATGCTCCTCACCAATTAGTAAGTGATGACTACTAATTGGGTACTCTCATTTCCTGGGTACCCAGCTTAAACCCTGGGGTGTGATATGTGGAAGTGCTGAATGATCACAGCTGCAACTTAAGTTAATTGGAGCCCTGCTGTGAACCTACAGCATGCCATGTAGGCTAAGTTGCGTGGAAAAACCAGGGCATAGGCATCTCAGCATGGGTACCAAAGTTAATGTATACTTCAAACCCTAATCTCTTTGTGTCTCAGTTCTGTAACATGGGCATCATCCTTTGGCTCATCTCATGGGAGAGTTTGGGAAGCACTCTGGGGGTGCCCTGATGAACCTCAAAGACTAGTCCAATAGCAAATTGATAACAAATACATAAGGTATGTGGCCATGCACTAAACAATGATAGGAAAAAGAAGTCCTGAATGTCCCATCGTTCAGTGAGCACCTTCCATTCTGTACAACTCTGAACAGTAGAGCCCTGTGGGAAAAATGGTATGGAATTATCTAACTAAAAGCTGTATCCTAGTCCACATGCACAAGGGGGCTAACACATACCTTCATTTTTAGATTTAATATTTGTATGTCCTGACTTCTGCATGCTTGACTGCAACTTTACTGTAACATTTTTTTTGTAATATCAAAATGTGTTGGATGCTGGCCTGATCTTCCTGTGGTCTGAATCACTTCAAACTGGAAATAATTCTGAGTTGGCCAAGGGATGGTTTTGACAGCCCCCTAGCTGTCAAAACCATCCCTCTAATTTCTCTGTGATCCTTCTCTACCTTTTAGGGTTTGACTGGAGCCTACATTTCAAGTGGGAGCAGCTTTCCCCAGAGCAGAAAGCCAAACGTGTTGATCCCACAGAGCCGATTAAGTAAGTAGCAAGGTAGGGAAGGGGACACTGGAAGCACCAGGGAGTCTGTGTGGAGAAAGTGCTCATGTTGAAATGGTGCCAGGTAGGCTGATTTTGCCATTTTGACTCGCCCATTAAAGGCTTTGATTCCAGTGAGGGCCATAGAAAGATTCCCTTGCTTTCAGCAGTTTTGGATCATTCCATGAATGCAAATGGTTAATGATTTTTGCAGCTGTAGCAACAGATCCCTGATTTAGCTGGACCAGAGAGAAATTTGAATATGCAGGTAATCCAGTTTAAAATGTGGCACCATGGAAGAGGTGGATCAGGGTTGAGATGTGCTCCAGGGGAGCCCTGAAACTCATGGGTCTATCCTGACTTCCAGTTTGCTTTGGATTTTACAGCACAGCTTCACCTGCTAACAATGTACTGCAGACAGTAAAGTGTCACAGTGCAAAGACAGTGGTTATTCCTACTGCAGTACTTCCAAAAAGTTCCACATGATAATTTTCCCTGAGAGGCTAAGGACAAATTGGTGAAAACTCCTGGTTTCTCCATCCACTGAATAAGACCGTTTCCCTTCTTAAAAGGCTCTTTCTTTAGTTCTGACAATTCACATTTTACCTGAGAACAAGAGGCTTCCTTTGCAAGTGGTAATGCCCTTCACAAAAGCAGGTTGTTAGACCTCACCTTCCAAACCAGCATTGCTTTTCCAAGTTGCCCAAGGGGCGGTCAGAAAATCTAAAAGGCTGAGAAATGAACGCTGGATTAAATGCACTGAGGGATGAAGAGAAAGAATCCCTTGGGCTGCAGGGAGTACCGCACTTTACCTACAGCCACCCCTTGGGGCTAGCTAATTCAGTGGCATCTTGACTGGAGACAGAGTTGCTGTAGCCTGGGCCATAGAAAAGGCAAGAGCAATGGTGAGAGCTCATAGCTCCAGAAAGGAAGCAAAGAACATGCATCCAATTTTATCACCTCTGAAAGCATGAATCTGCCACACGGATCTCAGAATGTCACTAGATGACACCAGACAGAGCTTCTGAAGTCATTAGAAATATCACTAGAACATTTAATGAACATTAAACATAGCAAACTGGTACAGGAACCTTAATTTCATTTGTTTTATTAACAGCAATCCCCAAAAAGTCACTAAGGACCCCCCAAAGGTGCTAGATCTAACAACAAAATGGCTAAGCTGGCAGTACTGTGTACATCGCAGTAAGGAAAATCTTGCCACTGTTTGTTAACAAGAACTCTTATTGGTCTCCTGAAGGGCCATCTCACTTCATAATCACCCTGTCATGTAAAAATAATTGGAACTTCATTGCAGCGCACAAAGGCCACCTCTGTGAGGCCTGACACAAATTCAGCCCTGCTTATTTCAGTGCAGTTACAGGACTTGAGAGTAGCTTGTAGAAATAGGACTTATTCCATCACACCTAAAACAATCCCCCTGACTCCTCCCCCCACCTCCATGACTTCACTGTGCTGCTCTCCTCATCTAAACTGAAGAGTGAAAAATAACCCTGCTCTGAAATAAAGATCAAACTGATAGAAATGGCTTCTTAAAAGCCCTTTTGAATAGGCAGTGCCCTCCCCTGTGCAGCAGAACAGTGCTCTTAATATGCTATCTTCCCGTGTAAACCCTGTTTGAGTAATGTCATGTAAATAACCCCCCAGCGCTAAGTGCATTTTTTATTCTGAAGCCTACAATCAGGGCTGCGAACTTTGGGCTTGGAGAAGTCGTGTTGATGGGTGCATTAGCCAGTCTTTAAGTACCAAGCAATTTGTGACCTATGCAAAAAGACAGAGGCAGCTGGTTAAATGGCTCTGCCACCTTTTGAGGTGCAAGTCTTGGTGTTGAGTAATAGGAAGATTCATAGGTTGTGCTCTGAGAACAGAACAGAAAGCAAAGGAAAGTGGTAGTCTGTTCATCTGGGGGTCTGCATCGCTGTTTGAGTGAGTTCCTGTCCCCTCTCCTCTTCCCCATCTCTGCAGGACTCCAGTCATCGCAGGGGGACTCTTTGTGATTGACAAAGCCTGGTTCAACCACTTGGGAAAGTACGACACAGCCATGGACATCTGGGGAGGGGAGAACTTCGGTGAGTCACTATTGTTGTGAGTGGAGGGGCCAATCCTCAACCTCCAAGCTGTTGAGGCTGGCTTTCTCTTGACTAGCCACAGGCTGATATCTGCTTCATCTAAACTCCTTCCCCAGTGCTCTCTGCAGGGCTTCCAACAGGCTTTCCAACAGCCTAAGTAAGGGGCTCCTTAAGGTCTCAAGGTACTGACAGTACTCAGGGATTAGCCATGATTGTGGTTCCCTTCCCTGTGTGGTATATAGCTACAATGCTGCAAAGGGTTGTGAACAGGTTGCAGAGGGCTCTAAAAAGTCTCCTGTCTCTCCCTTTTCTTAATGCTATCATTAAAAAATAGATATGTGTTTCTAGTTTTTCCATTTGTGGGTATAATCTCAAAAACATGAGCTGACGCAGTTATGCTGGCCTGAATTTGCAGAGCCCCTAACACAGTGGCTCAGGGGTTTTCAGCTGGGCTGCAGCAGACAGGCATTGGGTCCCAGTCACTCAGTGTGGGATCCCAGCTGGACCTTCTTGGCTGAGGGGTTCCCATTAGGAAAAGATTTAAGAATCCCTGCCCTAACCTGCTTGATGGTAAATAGATTAGGGGCCCACATGCTTCACGTCACCTAACTGTACCTCAGCCATCTCAGTTTCCAGCTCTTTGTCAGGTAGCTCCTGAGAGTAAGCTTTGCAAAGGAGATCAAACAGGTTATACCATTCTCTTCCACCATGTCAAATGCAGCTAGATCAGGCTGGACAGTTTTCTGTCTGCAACTCTAATGATGCAGCAGATCAGAGCGGTAGGCTGTAGCCACGCAAGAAGAAGGAGGTATTTGATGTCAGGGAGACAGATCTTAAGCTGGCTTTAATACTTTGATACCTCTGGGGAGCATGGCTAGCAAGGAAAAAAATTGTGTATCTTAAAAAGATATAGCAGTGCTGTCAGTGAGCCAAAGGAACAGATGCTAGTGCTTTGCAATAACCCCATCCATTGTCTGGCGCTATTGCTTTCTTCCATATGCCTTTTTCTCTAATGTATTTATTTATATCTTGCCATGTAGGAGCTCGCTTTCTCTCTCCCTCTTTTTATATGTGTATCTCAGTGAATTTCTTGTCAGTGTTTTGACCTGAAGCAACTGCTCTTCCTAACAGGATTGGTCCACCTCCCCTGCTAGATCACTGGCCTTACAAATAAAACGCCTTCGAAAAGAAAACTAAATGTAAATAAAGGAACTGGCACATTAGCTTTGATCCATGTTCCACCCAGTCCTGTGTCTTTTCCCTGGCCACGAGCACTACTAGCTGCCTCCAGAGAAAGAAAAACAGAGAGGGAGAGAAACTGAAATGGGCAATTATGAACATGCTGCCCATACCTGATGTTTCTTCACAACCCCTGTCAAACAGCAGTTAATCGATGCCTTGCAGCATGACAGTTCACATAATATGCATTGTCCAAGGCTCTGTCAGGTAGCAAGATACTTTTGGTTACTGACAGAATTCCCTTTGATATTGGTCCTGACTATAAAGTGTTCTCACCTTTCCAGTGCCAAAGGCAAACAGAGTCATAGGATTTTAGCTCACATCAAACAGAGGCTAAAATTCTCGCACACCCAAGTTTTAGTAGCCATGGAGCTTGCAGACTATGTGTTTCTCTAGTCTTAGAACAACTTCTGTCCTCTGGGAAGCAGAGGTGATGAAGCTTGTCCATCATCAGGTGGAAAAAATCAGCCACAGCCCAAATTTATACATGGCAGCAGGAGGTCCATTTGGTTGCAGTTGTGCAAAGCAGTCACAATCTTCCTTCACAGGGACCTCATAGAAGTCCAAAGAAGTGCAGAAATGGATAGTGTTGGAGAGCCAAGGTCTTGCTTCTGGAGGCAGGAAGAGGCACTCTGTGGAAGGCATGCAGTCTTGTGGGTTTCATTGGTAGCTACAAACACATCATCTCTTTGTGCTTCCCCTTTCCTTTTCATACTCCTCTTACTATATGTACATACAGTACAGGGCATAAAGGGGTCCCAGTCTTGGTTGGGGCCTTAGATACTATTGCATTCTTAGTAACAATACTCTCATGCACCCTTCCCTGAGGTGGTGCCATCTAGACCATAACAAGTCTTCCAAGGAAGGGATCTTGGTGCCCTTCTGCACCAACTGTGATGGCTCTGGAGTGGACTCAGGTTGGTCTGTAAAAGGGAAAGTACCAAAGATAAAAAAAATAGAAGGGACATGGCACAGTATTGCAACAATGTTGGACTAGCAGGTCTATATGCTTGAAGTTAGGTCCAACCCATGCTTGCCCCTGCACCACTCCCACCCCTGGAGATCAGTATGTGTCTTGCAGTGTTCTAGGCATGCAGCTCCTAGTCTTCCAGAGGCAACAGAAGAGCTCCAAGCTCTTGTAGGTCAGATTCTGACCCAGCTTACATCAATATGTTACCCTTGGCTACTGGGTAAATGAGAGAGGCATCAGAACTTTGTGATTCATCTTGGAGGTTCTGCACATGCCATTCAGTGGCCAGGTGCTCTTTTCATTTGCTTTGCAGTGAAATGCACACTAGCCCTGTGGCAATTTGCTCTCCTTTCTAATTGGATGCAGTGCTTAGAATACTGTGTAGCACTGCAGCTTGTTTCTAACATTATTAATTGAGCTCCACTTCTTTATGGTGGTGGAATTACCAGCCAAGGGAAGAACAATAGACTGCATTGAAAACAAAAGCAAGTTCCAGTCTGCATTCAAAATAAAGGAGAGGGCATTTGGGCACTGTTTGTTCCCAAATTGGTTTGGAACTAATTTTATTTCACAATGTGTGAGTGAATTTACCCCTCCTTATGTAAGGGGATGGAGGAACAGGCTCCAAGATTGAAGATGCTTCTTCCCACTACTGTATGACCAAATCTCCAGTACACCCCACCCCTGATCTGCCTGTTGCGGAGCAACAGGACTGTTTAATTATCCTTGGTAATGTTGGAGTGATGCTATAGGTGTGATAGTCCAGAAAATATGCAGGAGGCAAGGACTTTTATAGGTAATTATTTCATTGGGTTGTCTTTGAGTGCTGAGAATACAAGGAGGGGAGTCAGATGTGATGTGATGTGGACCCTTCTCTGTTCTGTTACTGCCATTGCCTCCTCCAGAAGTTACAGTTATGATGGGAAGGTCTTTGTTACATAAACCCAGGCTCCTTGTAGGTGTCCTCTGTAGTGGAGGGGAGACTGAATGACCAGGACTAGCTGCAGGAAATGAGCAGAACAGTATTTCTCTGTCAGGGTGGGAGGCCCTGCCTGACAAAGCTGGAAATACTTTAGCATTTGACATTTCCTATTTTGCAGCATCTCCCTGAGATGCAATTAAGAGAATGTGGGTGGATTGTAACAGTGCTTTAAAGACAATAAGGAAAGTGCAACAGGGATTGGCTTTCAGTGGGAAAATGCTTTTGTAGGCATGAGTAAAAGACCAGGTTAGGTGTGAGAGCCTAACTCCTGGTTCTGTGTGACATGGACATGTGCTGTGCCTCAGTTTCCCCACCTGTTAGTGCACATAATGCCACCACCTTCAGAAGTGTCATGAGGATTACTTGTTAGCATGGATAGAAAATGGAGTGTAAGAGGGCATAATGCATTAAGCTATATAGACCTGAAGGACTTTATCGCCTCCACTGGGGTTAGTCAGGTTCTGTCAGGACACTGTGTGTTTGAAGCTTAATTCTTTCCTTCTAACCAGCTTTTGCATTTTGAGCGCTAGGTTTTCATTCTGATTCTCAGTGCTCAGAGATCACATCCTCCACCCCTCTTCATTACGACTTAAATTATGAGCAAGCACTGGGAAATCTGCAAGCCTTTCTCCCTCAGTACTTCAGACAAACCTAGTCCATGTAAGCTGAAGAACTGGAACAGATAATAGGGCATTACAGTGCTGCATCCACAAACCAGTTTGCAACTCTTCAACTAATCTTATGCTCATCAGTGCTCCTTTTAATTGCAGTGACACTCAATGACCAAACAGCCTACTGCACATGGGTAAATAAAGAATGACAGCCACGTGTGAGAAGACCTAAATGGAACAGCTTAGAACAGCCAAATCCTTAGTCTCATCTTCTTGCTGCTGTGATTAAGGTTGTTCCCAATATAGCACTAAGACATGGCACAGGGGCATGTTTTATTGGTCCATTAATATGCACCTTTGGGGAGAGCCATGAAGTTCCAGCTGTTGCAGGAGCAGGTTTCTCCTCTCTGGATGCTGCAGTGAAAAGCAAAGTGGTAGCAGGGAAGGAATTTCTGAAAGGAAACATTGACCCTTGTTCCCACCTTCTGCAATTTGCCTCCCAGCTTAAGCCAACAGCCCCTGACTGGTACTGTTATAAATAGAGATGGGCTCAAGCCATGAATATTTGGCTCCACTTATCATATTAGTTGCCTCAAAAGGAAGAGGGATTTGTGTTTAGGCTAGTCTGTTCTTTGCTTTGCATCTGGGACAGCTGTGTGCAGTGAGAGCTGAGAGGAGGCTCCCTCCTGTCAGTGCCTGGGTGAACCCCAAAGCCATGTAAACGTGTGTCTTTGTGAGCAAATGAATATTGTGTGGACAAGAAGGGCCTGATTCTCCTTTGCTTACCCTCTTGTTGTGGGTCAAAAGGAGTATCACTGAGGAGAAAGCAAAGCAAATGGAAGGAGACTTGGACCTTCCAGGTCATGTTCTGATTGGCTGTTTTGGTCCAGCTGTTGATAAAAAGAGCACAGATCAAATTTGTCCCCCAAATGTAAGTTGTAGATCAAAATACCTGAGTGAATTAAAATAAAAATTGCAGTGGAGACATTCTAATGCCAAGGGAAGGCTCTCTCCCTTTGGAAACTTGAGCTTCAAATGGGGGCTGCATGGCCTGATTGTCTGACAACCAGTTGTACCTGGGGTTCTGGCTCTGCCTGTTACTGGCTTACTGAATCACTTTGGAAAAGTCTCTTCATTTCTCTGTGTTTCGTTATCTCCATCAGGTACTAGCAGACCAGGAAATAGTTCTACAGCAGAAACGACCAGGGCTTGAGAGCCAAATTCTGAGGCGGGGTGGGTGGGGATAAAGAGCTAAAGATCATATGGGGAACTTGGCTAACCCACAAGGCAGGTGTGGACAGAACACAAGTCCACACATACCTCCAACATGTTGACATGAAGTGGGAGGAAACATTGGAGTGATGCCTAAGCACGTAACCCAGAATAATGTGGATTTAAGAAAGTGGAATTTCAGGTTATACTGCCTGCAAGAAAGGTGCATGAATTTCCTCCAGGATGGGGCAGAAATGCCACTACTTAGGACTTTTAATGCTAACACTTCAGGGAGATTTTCAAAGGTACAAATGGCAGCTAGGCTTTGAACTGCCAATGGTTTTCTATTGGAGCTGAGACATCTAAGACCTTTGGCTTTACAGTATCTCCAGATCTTGTTGGTTTGCATTGCAGTGTAGAGGATGTGACTAAACAGGTTCCACTGATCTCAAGGAAAGAGTATAGCTGAACTGTCTGCATTGCTTTTGAAGTCTCAACCTTGCCTGCTGAGAAGCAGGGTAAATTAGCCTACTCAGAGCTCTGTGATGCCACAACTAGATTGCTCCTAGTGCCTGAGGTAGCTTGTTTAAAGCTCATTTAAAACTAGCTTGTGTATCTCTACACTACACTGAGGTCTGCTGTGTAGCCCTGATAAAATAGTAAAATGTGGGTAATAACACTCTTACCTCACAGAGGAGTGAGTGTGAATGGATGCTTTAAAAAGCTTGTTAAATGCTAAATATTGTTCTATGCTGTCAAAAAATCATTGTATAAGATTCAAAGAATTCTGAAACTGCTTTTTTTTTTAATTCCTTCCTTTTTCACATGGGGCTTGCATGGCCTGTTTATGTCTGTTATATGATGACTTAGTGATGACGCTGCAAATTGTGATGGGTTCATAGTTGTTAAGGCCAAAAGTCACCATTATGTCATCTAGACCAGTCTCTAGTAGAATACAGACCATTAGAATGGCATCCAGTTATCCATGTAAACGGGTATCTCATTTGTGATGTCAAGCTCTTGTTCCACAGGGGATTTAAACACCTCCAAAAACCTCAAAACCAGGTTTGGGTGCTTTGGATTAGACTCTGATATATGCTACAATGTTTTGCTAGCATAACCATGTCATTTAGGGGTGTGAAAATCCCTGGTCTCAGTGAACCAACAGCAGAAGCTTCCACTGGTTTTGCTAATGTCATTCAAGGAGGTAGCGTAACTACTATGGTCTCAGAAAAACTCCTTTTGCCACTCCTAGAAGGGGCTGCTGACATAGCTGTAATGGTATACCTGTAGCAGCAGCAGCTCCGTAATGCAGATGAGCCCCATATTTCTAAATACCAACAGCTCTGTTTTCTATGCTGATTTTACACACAGCTGCCCTTTGCACATGAAGGGTGTTGACAAATGACTGGTGCACACGTAAGTGCAGCATAGCCACTGTGAGTCGCATCCAATGAGAATCTGAACACCCCCAGTAAAGCTCTGAGCAGCCCTAGATCTGAGACTTTCCACAGACCTGACAGAAACACCAGCACCTTTCAAGATCAAGCTCAGGGCTTTGCAGGATCAGTCCTTTATTCATAAAAACATGGATCTTCTAAGGTACATTATAATCATTAATAAACTGAATTCATACCCTCTCTTGGTGAACTCAGGAGCCCCTGTGGAGGGAAGTGGTTCTGAATTATGCAGTGCAGAAGTAATTACAAGAGCAAGAAATTGCAAGATGTTTCTGAGATGTAAGCTGTGCTGCATATAAAGGGACCTACTTACAGCCCAGCTTTTTCCATTGTGATATTACCCGCTGTGCTATAGGCCAATTTCAAGTGGGCTAACTTCAAACAGATAGTAAGTAGCTTTGAAATGTACTTTTAAGAAGGCTGAGCCTAGCGAGGCCCCTCCAGTAATGGATTGACCCTGATGTGGTGTGGAAAAGGATAAAATGAGAGATAAACCTGGATCCCATCCTGCTCTGGAACTGGGCAACAGTGCTGAAGCCAACTCTCTTATAGAAATCTCATTCCGTGTGTGGATGTGTGGTGGGAGCCTGGAAATTATTCCCTGCAGCCGAGTCGGCCATGTCTTCCGGAAGAAACACCCTTACATCTTCCCAGAAGGAAACGCCAATACATATATAAAGTAGGTATATTGCATTTGCCGCCTTCCTGTGCCACTGAACAATGGTCTGCCCTGGGACAGATAGAGCTGTGATAAAGGGAGAGTGTAGTTTGTGGTAATGGTGGATGCCAGGAGGAAAGTTTGGCTGGGGAAGTTAATGTTAATAGCAATACAAGAGTTTCCCAACAAAAAGCAGGCTCAAACACAGGTGTACCTGGCTCCCTAAGGATTTCTTCAGCATAGGGCACTCTGTCAGGGGCACTACAGTGCAGCAGAGTTTCCAATACCACCTTCCCTGCCTGGTTCCTTACACACAGGGTATAACTAGAATGCCTTGCACCTTGCTGAATCCCATCTGCCAAAACAGTTGATGATTTACATGAGGGACCAAGATGGCACTAAACTCATAGATTCATAGATTCATAGATTCATAGATTCATAGATTAAGGGTCGGAAGGGACCTAGTAGATCTTCTAGCCCGACCCCCCGCCAGGGCGGGAGAACAACAAAAACCCCAAAAAGAGAAATGGGACTCAAACGAGTCCAGCTAGGTGGGCATCCAGCCTCTTCTTAAAGACCCCCAGGGTAGGGGCCAGCACCAACTCAGAGAAGCAGGAAGGTATTTTAGTCTCCACTGACCTGCAGCCTGACACAGCTTAACCAGACTAGAAAATCTTGCCCAAATGCCTCTAAGAGTGTAAGCCTTACTGGAGCACCGGTTAGTGCAAGCATTGATTAGCACATATACTGTTCACACAAAGGCTTTGCTGAAACATTAGCAAGTATCAGTAACAAAAAATGAGCCAGAGTGGTGTCTCCTGTTGACTTAAGATACAGATGGTTTAATCACCAAGCTGATGTTACCTCCAGAAGAGAGACTCAGGAATGCTTGGAGTTCTGACATCTAGAAGCAATTGGCTCCATTGGAACTGGCTGCTTAGCACAGCATACTGGCTGGAAAGACTGAAAGCAGAGTTTTTGGGAACTCTGATCATGGGACAATACATGCCCCAGGTAGCCTATAAGGTACACAGTGTCATGAGAAAAGCTAGGCACTGTATTACACAGTTAAGATGGCCAATTTATAACTCTTCCAAGGCTGTCCGCCCCCTGGAAGAGGTGCTAGGACTGTCTGGTTAAAGAGAGAAATATTACAGATGTGGAATTCAGATCAAAATTATCTGATCTCTCTCAACAGCCAGGGAAGTCAAGAAGGCTGTTTTACCCTTCTCAGGTTTCTAAGCCAAGGGCTGTCCATTAACTATGCAAATGAGAAGAAACATTGTCCACAGATGGGAGCAGTTTTTATCAACAGATTGTTTTCTGGATAAGTTGTCTGCTTGGATGTTTTTACACACCAGGGTTTCCTTTTATGAGTGTATTTCCTGATGCTATAACAACAATCATATTTCTTGAAGTTATAAGAACAATCAGCAACAAACATAAATGCCCAATTGTCTGCAAAACGGTTCTCTATTACATGTCCACTATGTAGCCCTCTTTGGTTTAGCATGTGATACTAAGAATGAGAGAGGAGTCCTACACATCAGTCAGGTTTTTGTTCCCCTTCTCAATTGTACTGAAATGGTCTTGCTTCCAATAACACCAAGAAGTAAGAACTTTAAAGGCTTGGAAGTGGTCAAAGATCTATCACACGGGTCATTTAAAACAAGGGAAGGATAGAATACTCCTGAATGTGCCATTGGGAACAATCCTGCATTTGCCCTTTTAGGGGTGAACACAGTGAACTCAAATAGGTTATTTCTGGCTCTGATGTCTAAGATAAAGAAGGGATGATTTAGAATGAGTTGGAGAGGAGCTCAGCCTGGTACCTCAGGCACAGAC